GGGGGGGGGGGGGGGGGGGGGGGGGGGGGGGGGGGGGGGGGCGACTGGGAGCCAAGGCGGCGCGGGGCGGGGGCAGTGAGGGGGCTCAGAGGTCGGGCCCCGCGCCGCCCCTCACCCGCTTCTCCTCCTCCTCCTCAGGCGCCCGCGCCGCCGCCGCCACCACCCACTGCCTCCTCCAGCTCTCTTCAGACACGGTCGCCGCGCCTCCCGTCTGCCCCCCAGGCCCGCCCTTCCCTGGTCACTCTGGCCTCCTATTGGCCCAAACTGCCGCCACTTCCCCGTTGTTCTGGTTCTCTCGCCACTCTCATTGGCCGAGCCCCAATCTTACCCTCCCCGCCTTGCCCCAGTCAGTGCCCCGATGAAACCCCGCCACGCCCGTGCTGCCGTCAAGCCCTGTAGACTACCGCCAGTGGTTCACGCCGCTGTCCTTCAGCTGCTGCCATGGAGTCGAGTCCCCACCTCCCCATCCGCCAAAGCCGGAAGTCGGCACCCTCATTGGCCGAAAGAGCCGTCGCTCCAGGCGAAACTCGAAGTGGATCGGGTTACTCAAGTCCAAGAGGAAAAAGGGCGGGCTCTTCTGGCCTTAGAACTCGTATTTTATTGGTTGTCCCTGGGACGGCCTGTCCTTCTATTGGCTAAGGCCTCCATCCGTCATCCTTTCTCTGGTGAAACGTTCAGCCGTAGGAGAGAGAAAGCCGGAGCTGGTGGGAGGGAGGATTTCAAGGCGCGCGCACTTCCATTGCCTCTGCTCCCTGAGGCCTGCGGTCGCCATGGCGACAAAACTTTATTGACAGCTCTGCCCGGCTACAATGGGTTCCTCAGTCTCCCTCCCTCTCTCCCACAATTGCCCCGTTTCATTTTGGGAGTACCCACAAGAACTTTGTGGAGCGATATGAACGGGTCGGAAAGAAAGACGAAGAAATGGGGGCTTTGAAGACAAGCCCCATCTCATTGGGCGCTCCTCTGGCCCCCGCTTCAATCCTAGAAGCAAACCTAATTAGCAATTCATCACAATTACGCCCGGAATAGTAAGCTCCACACTCAGGACAGTCTTTGTTTCACTATAGTTATTATACCCTGTGCTCTTAGAACAATGCATGGCACAGAGTAGTTTCTTTGTAGATATGAATTAAATAAATGTATGTATGACCAACCAATGGGGAGGAAACTGACAGTTTCTGCATCGCTTTGTGACCTTGAGAAAGTGGCTTGCCATCTCTGGGCTTCAAGTTCCCATCTATAAAACAAAGACCACACTCTGGTTCTGCTCCCAGCTTCCCACTGTTTGTTCATGCTGTTCCTTCCCCAACTAGCACTACCCCCAGCTCCAGGCTTCACCTCCCCAATCTATCCTGAGCTCTCAGACACCCCCAGCCCACTCACCGCTCCAGCTAAAGGTGGTCACATCTTCCTCGGGGTCATCATTTTGACCAGGTCCTGCGGTGGCAGAGGGGATTGTGCCTAGGGACTTGCTCTGGAGCAGCCCTCCGTCTGGTGAGGAGACAGAGGTGGCTGTTCCAGGATTATCCCTACTGTAACTCACCTGGTCTTCACACTGGGAGAGACAGACCACCGACTCCAGAGGAGAGATTAGCTTTACCCAGGGAAGGGGAAACAGCAAGTAAAGGACTCCACAGAACAGCTTGGCTGGGCTGGCCAGTTAGCTCACTTAGGGGAGTGTGGTGCTGATAATACCAAGGTCGAAGGTTGGGATCCCTGTACCTTGTCAGGTGCCAGAATAAAATAAAATAAAACAAAACAAAACAAAACAAACAAACAAACAAACATATGACTCTTAAAAGTACAGCCCTTCTAAAAAACAAAAACAGGGCCGACCCCGTGGCTCACTCGGTAGAGTGCGGTGCTGATAACACCAAGGCCGCGGGTTCGGATCCTATATAGGGATGGCCGGTTTGCTCACTGGCTGAGCATGGTGCTGACAACACCAAGCCAAGGGTTGAGATCCCCTTACCAGTCATCTTTACGGGATAAAAAAAAAAAAAAAAAAAAATCTAAATTTCGGGCCAGCCCGTGGCTCACTCGGGAGAGTGTGGTGCTGATAACACCAAGGCCCTGGGTTCGGATCCCACATAGGGATGGCCGGTTTGCTCACTGGCTGAGCGTGGTGCTGACAACACTAAGTCAAGGGTTAAGATCCCCTTACTGATCATCTTTAAAAAAAAAATAAATAAATCTAACTTTCTTACAGTGGCCTCCCCTGCACACTGCACTATTTGGCCCCCATTACCTCTCTAACCTCATTGTTAACTATTGTTCCCTTGCTCAGCCCATGACAGTCCTATCTGCCTCCTTGCTGAAAGTTCAACTTTTCACATTTCAAGGCTCTTTTCTCTTCTCTTTGCATAGAAAGCTCTGCCCATAGATATATCTGCAGGGCTAACTCTCTCACCTCCTATAGGTGTCAAATGTCACCTCCTTGGGTAGAAGAGGCCTCCTCCCCAGGCAATGCAGAGCCCCTTGTTCAAAAATTATTAAGGATTTCAAGGTAAAATGGAAGAGCATTAAACCAGTTCCGGTCCTTTCTTAGTGTGGGGCCCCTGGAGGCTAAACAGGTTGCAAGCCCACGAAGCTGGTGCTCCGTAGCACCTTCCCCTGCCTGACATTAGATATCTATTTATTTATCATCCTTCTCCCCAGCTAGAACATAAGCTCCAGGAGAACAGAGACCCTTGTCTTGTTCACAGCTGAGTCTCCAATGTTAAGGACAACACTTGGCACATCATTGGCATTTGATGAATGATGAAATGAATAACAATGCAAGAAGTCTGATCCTATAGAGGAGAGAATATATTAGGTCATAAGAGGGCTATTATTCATAGGATGAGAAAAAATATTTGCATATCATATATCTGACAACAGACTTATAATCCAGAATATATAAAGAATTCTTTTTTTTTTTCCTTTTTGTCTTTTTTCATGGCCGGTAACGGGATCGCGACCCTTGGTGTCGCGCCCGCACCACGACCGGCAACGTAATTGCAACCCTCGGTGTTGCGCCCACACTGCACTCAACCAGTGAGCGGGAACCGGTCTCTACATGGGATCCGAACCCTTGGCAGGAGCGCTGCCGTGCTCCCAAGCGCCGCACTCCACCGAGTGCGCCACCGGGCCGGCCGATATAAAGAATTCTTACAACAACAATTTTATTCTTACAATAATAAAAAAGGCAAACAACCCGATTTTTAAAAACATTTTTATTTATTTATTTTGGCAGCTGACCATTGTGGGGTTCCAAACCCTTGACCTTGGTGTTATAACACCATGCTCTAACATACTGAGCTATCCAGCCAGCCCTTAAATAGGCAAAGGATCTGAATAGGCATTTCTCCAAAGAAGATATACAAATAGCCAATAAACACATGGAAAGATGCTCAACATCATTAGTCACTAGGGTAGTGCAAATCAAACCCACAATGAGATACCACTTTACACCCACAGGATGGTTATCATCAAAAAGACAGAGAATAACAAGCTTGAGGTTGTGAAGAAATTGGAACCCTCATGCATTGCTGGTGGGATGTAACATGGTGCAGGCACTATGGAAAATAGTTTAGCAGTTCCTCAGGGTATTACTATATGCCTAAGATAAATAAAAACATATGTCTACACAAAAAGTCACACATGTTTACAGTAACATTATTCACAATAACCAAAAGGTGGAACTAACCCAAATGTCCATCAACTGAAAAATGAATAAGCAAAATGTGATACATTCATGCAACATAATATTATTCAGACATAAAAAGGAAGGAAATTCTGACACATGCTACAACATGGATGAAACGTGAAAACATCATGCTGAGTGAAATAAGTCAGACATAAAGGGACAAAAACGAAGTTACCCCAAAAAGTTCATGGAAAGATTTGTATTATCTTTCACATCTATTTTTCCACAAACTTTTCGAAGTACCCTCATACTGTATGATTCTACTTACATGAGGTTCCTACAGTAGTCAAACTCATAGAGACAGAAACTAGAATGGTGGTTACCAGGAGCTGGGGGAGGTGGGGAGTTAGCACTTAATGGGTACAGAATTTCAGTTTAGGATGATGAAAAAGTCCTGGAAATGGACAATGGTGATAGTTGTGCAACAATGTGAAAGAACTTAACACTACTGAATTGTACACTTAAAAATGGTTAAAAGGAGGGCTGGCCTGTGGCTCACTTGGGAGAGTGCGGTGCTGATAGCACCAAGGCCACGGGTTTGGACCCCTATATAGGGATGGCCAGTTAGCTCACTTGGGGGAGTGTGGTGCTGGCAACACCAAGTCAAGGGTTAAGATCCCCTTACTGGTCATCTTAAAAAAAAAAGTGGTTAAAAGGGTAATTTTAGGGCCGGCCCGGTGGCGCACTGCTACAGTGCGCTGCTTGGGAGTGCAGCGGCGCTCCCGCCGAGGGTTCGGATCCCACATACAGACCGGCCGCTCACTGGCTGAGCGAAGTGCGGACGCAACACCGAGGGTTGCGATCCCGTTGCCAGTCCCGGTCCGGTACGGGCGCGACACTGAGGGTTGCGATCCGTTGCTGGTCACGAAAAAAGACAAAAAGGAAAAAAAAAAAAAAAGGGTAATTTTATATTATGTTTTACCACAACAAAAATATCTAGACCAAATTCAAGTCTAATGGTGAAACATTGAAAGATTTTTTTTTGAAATCAGGAACATGACAGGGATGAACCCTTACCATTGCTACTCAGCACTGTACTGAAGACTGCAGTAGTAGGCAAGAAAATGAAATAAAAGGTATAAGAATCCAAAAGAAAAAAAGAAAACTGTCACTATTCAAAGATATGATTAAGTACTAGGAAATTCAAAAAGAAGTTCCTGATCAAATATTAAAATTAATAACAGAGTTTGGGCTGGCCGGTTAGCTCAGTTGGTTAGAGTGTGATGCTGTTAACAGCAAGCGCTGGGGTCAAAGATTTGTATCTCTGTACTGGCCAGCTGCCAAAATAAACAAATAATTGAGTTTAGCAAGGTTGCTGGATACAACATTAATATGTGAACATGAATTATATTTCTTTTTACCTGTGTGTTGTGGGTCCCCGAGACCAACCCATGTTCAGAAATTTACTAGCCTCAGGGGCTGGCCCGTGGCTCACTTGGGAGAGTGTGGTGCTGATAACACCAA